CTAATTCCCCTAGGATTGTTGGATGAATCCAATTGGTAGGTTCTGCTCCATGACTTGCACATTTCTCAAATCTTCTTTCTAGTTATTCTCCTTGTGTATGTAAGTTTTTCTCACTATGAACTCTTGCATTTACTTGAAAGGACAGCAGCCAGTTTGATGATAGTCTCTCCCCACCCCCTCTCTTCCCACTTCTATTCTCCTCCCTTCCCTCCCTTTTTAGTACTGGAAAACGGAACCCTAAATAGAACTTTTCAATGAATGAATGATTGGAGAAGCTGGTAATCCTTTGCAGCATTTTTTTAAGGCGTTAAACAATGTATGTTTGGCTCTTAGCTTCTGAAACAGTGCGTGAATCAGGATAAATTAACTTCTTTTTCCTTGCCTTTCTCTCTCTCTCTCTCTCTCTCTCTCTCTCTCTCTTTTTTTTTTTGAGACAGGGTCTCACTATATAGTTGAGATTGACCTGGAACTCACTATGTAGTCCAGGCTGATCTCGAACTCACAGCGATCCTCCTGCCTCAGCCTCCCGAGTGCTGGGATTACAGGTGTGTGCCACCATGCCTGGCTTCTCCTTGACTTTCTCTACAGTATAGATGAATGAATTTACAATCTTGAACATTATTAATTGCCTATCAATTTCACTATCCTTTTGTTGGAACCTACTCCAAAACAACACTCTGATTTGTCTTCCATTCCCAAGAGTGTTAATCTTGACTCAATCTTGGGTAAGAAGCCCTAAATAATGTTCAAGTTAGATTCTCTCCAAATCCTTCAGAAATATCACCATATGTCTACTAATTGACATGATAAAAGGATAAAACATAGCTGTGTATAAGGAGAAATATTTCATGGGTTCTGGTTTCACTTTATTTGGGCACAAAGTAGAAGGGGTCATTTGAAGGTTTTGAGAGTCTTAAACTGCAAATTTCTGCTGCTGGTTATTATTTCTCAAAATATTATCTTTTTGCTATGAAAATGCTATCTTTCTCATGCCAGATTTCATTAAGACTGTCCATCTGGTCTGTACTGATAACTAGAATCTCAAGATGCCTATTTTTTCTACAATTTGTCCTTCAAAATCATCCAGATGTAAAAGAATTGGGTTTTACAGTTCCTTCCAGAGGATTTTGCCTTCGTAATCCTTTAACTGCACATGTTGAGTGCTAATCAACAACAGAGAGTTCTAACAACCTATTAAAAAGTTCTGCTGACTGTATTTTTTATTTGACCTATTTTAGGAGAATACAACCATGAAATAAAATCACCAAAATCTGTTAGATCAAGGACCACAGTGAATATAATAATTTACAATGGGGGGCGGGAATAAGAGAGCTAACATGAAAATTAAATTGTAGTGATACCTCTGTTTTACTTAGTTTTGTTTTGCGTGGTTTCAGTTACTTTTGGCTAACTGCAGTCCAATATTAAAAGGAAAATCGAGGAAGCAAACAATTCATGATTTATCTTGCATTCTGTTCTGAATAATGTGATGAAATCTTATACCCTCCTGCTCTATCCTGCTCGGGACATAAGTCATATCACTTTGTCCAGTGTATCCATGTTGCATATGCTACCTGCCAGTTAGTTGTTAGTAGTTTCCTTGTTTATCAGATCAACAATTTTGGTATTGCAATGCTTGTGTTTAAGTAATCCTCATTTTATTCAATAATGATCCCAAAATGCAAGTATAGCAATACAAAGGAGGCATTAGGGCAAAATACGGCAGAAGAGATTAACTCTGGTACTATGTGGCAATGCTTTAAGGCCTACAAGAGAAATTGTAGTACAAATAGGGTTGGGACTATCTGCAATTTCAGACATTCACTGGGGGGGGGTTCTTAGAAGGTGTAAGTAGGGAGGACTACTGCAGAATAAAACTGTATTAAGACTACAATTCTGAAGGACTTTAATTTATTTGTCCTGATTCAGGAATATGCCAACTGATTGAATAATCTCTATAAATTCTGGTTCTTACATTCTTAATCCAAGAAAAGTGGGAACAAATACTTTGTGAAAAATAGAAGGAACACAAATAATGTTAACTTGACTGCTCTGGACTTCCAGTATTAAGGATCACAATGACTGGTTACAGAAAATGGCTTAGGCAGGAATATATAAGGGAGAAGTCAGCCACTCTGAAGAGCTTCTGCCCCATTCCAAATCAAGTAATCCCTCGTTTTCTCTTCTGTGTTCCCTCATCTCTCTCACTCTTCACCATATGGCACCTTTATTGTCTGTTTCTGTAATACAAATGCTCATATAATTTCACACATATAAAAATGTGGTGAGTAGAGAAGAAAGGAGCATAAAGCATAAGGTGCCAGACTCTTGCTGCCATGAGATGGCCTTGATAACATATGATATGAACAATATGTACCTATTTGTTGAAATTCTGCTCTCATGCAGCCTTAAGCTTATGTTATGTAAATAGGCCCACAGACATAGGGAGAAAGAACCGCTATATTAAAATATGAGATGTGCTTCTTTTAAAGTGAAGTATAGAAATAAAATTTCAAAAAGGTCAATAGAAACATGAAAAAAAAATGCCCTGTGTGTAAAAGTGAGGAGTAGAGCACTGGATGCTTTTGAGTGTTGGGAAGATGATCCAAAAGCACAAGGTTGGTCTGAGGATTTTTGCAAAGGGATCCACTTTCCTGTTAAGCCTTTGTATCTTGGTGGTGGTTGTAGTGGTGGAGTAATACGTTGACATGGAGGTGCTTGAGCCAGGGAGGGACAAGGTGCTGCTAGTAACATATCTTACCCAGCAACAATTCCAACAAACAGAAGAGCAAGGAATTGTATTGCAGCGTCACCTGGACTAGAGATGTGGCTTGGATTTTGACTTTTCTTGGATACCACCTCTGAGAATTCCTGACTTGGTTAATCTCCTCAAAAGAACTGAAATTTGTTAAGGTGATTGCTCTTGACCAGGCTTACAGAAGAAGAAACAGGAAGCAAATATTCTGAATAGGAACCAAAGTGACTAATGAAGGTGTCATCAGGATGAGTTGTAAAGAAGGCTGTGTCTCCTCTCTGGACCCTTGCCTAAGGGAATGGAAGGCCCAGGAAAATACATATTAGCATCTGGTCTGGGAATGTATCTTGAGTGGAATCCCCACGGGCAGACAGAAAGAATATAAAGCCAAGTTTACAGTGTTTGTGTTTGTGATTTCTACAGAATTTTAAATGTCAGTTGGTGGACACATATTGTTCATTTGAACACTTTCTATTATAACAATAATCTGTGAAGTGTATAGACATCTCTGGAAATTTTCATGAACAACTACTTAAAGGAGTATTTCAACATGTATGTATCTGAGGGCCACAGTCATAGCTTTAAAACTCCTTTCTAGCTTTTTCATTATGTATCAATTTATACAGGTCTATACAGAGCTCTGTAGTAGTCCTTGGGACTTGTTCAGCCCCTGTCAGGTGATGAAATAATACCTAAGTTTTATTAACAATGACAAATCAAGATTTGAATAAATTTCTCTTTATAGCTCTTGCAGTGATGAAATACCTGGGCTCAAGTATTTCTCTCACCTCTATGAAGCAAAATGGTTAGTGGTGAGGTAACATGCAATTTTAGAAGTAAGCAACACATCTTGTTTTAAAAGTGATACAGAAACTGAGCTGAGCCCTACTTTGGAGGTTGGCATCATCATACAGCTGTGGGTCAGAGGCTAAAGTTTTGAAAGGAGTAAAAAGGTAGGCAGGCCCATTTTGTGCATTTGTTAAGAGGGCCTCTAATGCTCTGTTCATTTATATTTTGAGCATAGGGTCATCTTATTTAATTCAGCAGGAAACAAATGCACTAGTAAGAGAAGAATGGCTCATCGTTTACTCTTTGTATATCAAAGGTATTTCAAATATCTTCCCCACAGAAGAGGCTGCACAAGGGAGTGAGACCCAGATGCCTACTCTGTCTCTCATGCACAGGGTTAAATCAGACAAGCCTATGACATCTGGTTGTTCAAGGTGATGCACATTGTGTCCCAAGTGCTATTATGGTAAATATATATTCTGAAGCAGTGCCAAATTCAGACCAGCAGCATGTACAGCTGGGCATTTTGAGGGAATACGTAAATACTCAGGAAGAATGGTAAATGAAGCCTTATTTGGGAAAAACCTCATTTCATCATCTGCTATTCCCTCCCAGACCCCTTCCCTTACGGAGATATTTGATGCAGGAGGCAGAAGAAGACAATACGGAAGGTTAGGAAGAAGCACCCCTAGACTGACACCTACTTCATCCTTTTAATTCAAGGACAAGCAGTGTCGGGTTAAATACAACTATCTTTCTGGAAACTGGACGTGGGCAGAAATCCATTAAAGTACATATATTTGAACAATGCAAGACCATATATGATCCCAGTGTCTCACTTTACAGTACTGGGTGGAAATAGCTTCAGATCAAACTTCCCATCTGAAGCCACACTTCCAAGCTTTATTTTGTGAAATACTCCACCTGGGTATTTTGGATGTCCCACCTGAATAATCTGTTTATCAGGACTGGATATATCATTATTTTCTAAGGACTGAAGCAAACGTGCAGTCATTTCTAATCAAAGATTTTGTGATCGCTGTTGGCTTTGAAATCACCTCGCCCCTCACGCCAGAGCACACCATCTTCGTGTGCGGTTCCTTCTAGGGTTCCCCCCCTTCTTCTTTCCTTCCTAGCATTCCTTCCAAAATAATTTAATCTTTAAGGTGCCTTAAATCCTTCTGCACGGAAGCAGGATAAAATTCTTAAACCACAGCTACATACATCAATGCACGCTCAGGTTCACACGTTTGAGGCATAGCTTGAAGGAGAAACGCGTTCCGTACCAAGAACTCCCGGAGACGCGCACAGACCCCCATAATCTCCCTCCCCACACCCGAGCCCAAACTCTCAATGCCCTTGCACCTGAGAGGGGACAAAAATCTCCATGCTAGAGCTCCAGCTCCTGCTCAGGCGTAGGAGGGAGCGAAGCCTCCGGAAGGTGTGCGCCCCTCACCTTGTGGACTGCGAGTGCAGCCGCGTCGCGCTGGGGCGAACTGGGGCGTCCCGCCGGCACCAGAAGTCTCTCTCGAAACCGCTCCTTTCTGAGCCTTATCGGAGAGTCGCTTCTCTCAACACCGTCTCTGGCGTACGACGAGCCCCGGGGCGCCCTCCCCTCGGCGTCCTGGCCGCCCAGCCCTCTGCGAGACAGCGGGGACCGCGGCGCTCCGGGCGGTGTGTGGCACGCGCTGTGGCTGCCGAGCGCGGCGCCGGGGCTGGAAGAGGAGGAGCAAGAACAGAGCGCAGTCTGTGAAATCAGTCACGAAGGTTGCAGGCGTGCAGGTCGCCACTGGACGGAGAAGGGGTGGGTGGGATGAAAAGGTGAGCCAAGGCGCAGTGCGCGGGGTGGCGCTGGAGGAGAACTGGGCTCCAAATTCCGGAACTGATGGCGCCCTCAGGGTTCCCGGTGGCAAACACTAGAGGGCGGCGCTGTCCGCGCTATAAACCTGGCGTGTGGAGCTGGAGGTGTGGACAAGATTGTCCTAAATTGGCCGTGGCCCAGGTGGAGAGGGGCCGTTTGGTGAGGCTGCGCTGGAGAGGGAGAGCGAAAGAGTAGTGTCGGGCTCCTCCACGCAAGCCTTCTGGAAGTGAATTAGCATTCGTCAGAGAGGAAGATTATAGTCAACATTCTCAGGATGAATTAAAGGTCAGGTTGAGAAGAAAGGGAGGGGAGGGAGAAGTGGAAGAAATTGAGGGTGCGTCGAAGTGGGAGGGGGCAGAGAGGGGAAAGCAGCGAAAGGGAGATGGGGTGGTGTGGGGGTGGGGTGGTGGAAGCTGAGCGACTTGTTGAAGCGCCAAGTTGTTTTTCTGGCGTGCATTCTGTGAGGGTTGACATTTCAGCCAGGACTTTGTCTTTTTATCGTTTCCGGATCTTTAGGTTTTTGCCGCCAGACCAGAGAAGTTATCCTGGGAGGGACTTTATAGAATCCTGGCGCTCTGAAGGAAGGTTGCTCAGGGCCTATTAGCTGTTTTCTGATGGGGATTTGGGTGACTAAAACTTTGGATCTTTACATGGATTGATTCCCTGATACTGTGGGGGAAAAAAATCAGATTATTTGAAATAAAATTCTGGCAGGCGAAGAACCATGAAATGAACTGAAAAAACAAAAAAACAAAAAACAAAACAAAAACCCAAAACAAAACACTTGTGGGAGCTAATTATGGTCTGTACACAGCCTGATGCAACCCTTAGAATTTAAGACTTGAGCACCCCTGTAGACAACCCAAATAGCTTCCTAAAACTCCAGCTTTATGTTCCTTTCTTCTATGTAGCTTGTTTGAACCGAGAAGGCGTGTTTTAATTTTTAGTGTTTTGCAGCTTGAGAATTCTTTTTTTTGTTGTTGTCCAATTATTTTTATTGGTAGTTTGAGACTTCTAAACAGATAAAATCCTATGTTTAGAAAGGCAAGCTTATGACCTTTATCCCGCTTTCTGGAGTGCATCTCAAGGTCAGCAAGAATCAAGTGAAAGGTGTGAAGGAAATTTCACTGAGCAGGGAAAGGAAGGTTGACTAAGTACAGTCTCAAATTGTGACTTGCTTTTGTCCATCCTATTAAAATAAGAGAACAGATTTAAATTGACAAAATTTTACCAGGAGAATAGGGTGGGGAAATACTTCTCTGCTAAAGAATGATGCATCTTGAAATCTGTTTGGTGATGAAGGTGCTATGTAAGAATAAAAAGAAGAGCTACTCTTCATTTTAAAAAAAGAACCTCGTAGGACTAAAGTTTTTGGATATCTCAAGAGTATTACTGGATAATGGTATTACTCTGGTGACTTTGGAGTCTTTTAAAAAGATGAAAAAAGAGTTGAATTTATTCTATTCTCTCTCGCTCCTTTTTTTTTTTTTTAAAAGGAAATTGGCTTACCTGCCCTTTGGTTATTATAATGTAAACAACTATGGGAATATATATTAGACACTTAGGAACTATCTGGAACATATTTCAAAATACTCAATTTTGGCAGATTTCAGATTCATGAAGTTCATGATTATTCTCAAGCTACCATTAACTTCTGTGATATATTTTACTAGTCTTAATAAAATTCAACACCCACTTAATTATCAACTGATAATAATTTAATTTGTGAATTACCCATTTGAATTTCCAGTGGGCTCTGAGTGCTCAATGGTTATAGGTATATGTAAATCACATTCCTATTACATAGTGGAAAATTTCTTGTAGTTAAAAACCTATCTTTACAGATTGAGTGGAACCCTGATCATCTGACATAATAAATCCATCACTGTGCACAGGGAATTCATAAAAAGTTAGTTTACCAAATTCTCTCATTCAAACACTCATCATGTTCCAGGTATGAGCCAGTTTCTAGGAATATGATAAAGAAGATCCAGTTTCTCATCTCTCAGATTCTAGAGTTCAGCGAAAGACTGATTCACAAATTAGCAAATCTGACTCAGAGTAGTAGTTTTGAAATTGGGGAAGAACAAGATGAACAAAGGAGAACATTCTATTCCAGCATTAGATGATGGTGGGGTGTGTGAGTTTAGGGAAATGTTGTTGGTAGTGGTGGAGAGCAGGAAATGATGAACAATTGATCACCTGCATCCCCCAGATTCATTCTAATCACATTTGTTAACTTTTGTTTGGATGCTGGAATCCCAATATATGAAGCAAGGATGATCATCTATACTTTCTTACTAGAAGCTAGATTACAAGCTTTGTGAGGCAGACTGTGTATGACTTCTTCATCACACCAGTAGTATCAAAACCCTGGTTGATATTTTTTGTGGTTTCCTACCTCCACTGTGAAAATGGGAATAAGCTTGGAAGGGAAGGAGTTCGGATGGAGAAGGCTTCACATTCATTAAACCCACACCATCCTAGGTGCTTTCCAAGCATTATCCCACCAAGTATTCCCAATAGTCCTAAGGTTCACATTGCATTCTATGCATTTTTTGTCTGTTGTGTCTCAGAGGCCAGAAGGAGAACATGAAATGTCTCCAGATAGGTCCCTCCATTTGTCAAATTTCAGTAAGTTATGCTATGGTAACAAAGCATAAATCCCAAATCTCAGAGGCTTTCTACAGAAAAGAATCGCACACAAAGAACATGTTATCTCTAGATTGGCTGTAATGGCATTCCATGTGTTTACTCTGGGACCTGGAGAGATGGAGCCAGGCCATTCTCAAGGTAAAAGACAGGAAAAAAGGTGGAACATCAGAGTGGCCTTTAACATTTCTGCTTAATTATAGGATAAGACACTTCTGCTCAAATTTCATTTGTTAAATAAGTCTCATGGCTGAGCTTGATGTCATTCAAATAAAAAATAGGAGAAATTCCAAGGAGAGGCTAGGTAGAAATGGGCCTAGGAATAATAAAATATTGTGTACTAATTATTCAATTGGTAACATCTCCAGCAAGACTTTTGTTTTTTTTTTTAATTGAGTATATTGGTACATTTTAGGTATATAGTAGAGTACAGTTACATTCAATATTGGGATCTTGTACCTTTACATGACAAGTCTTGGTTCTCATTTTTTCCCCTTGTCCCTGCCTTCCCTTCACCCCTCCTCCCCTCCCCATTTACAAAAACTTTATTTCCATGTTTTCATTTTATCATATTTTTTTCTTTTCCCTTATTACCTTTCCCCTACCCTTCCCACTTTCTCTACACCTTTAGCCCTTGTCTTCCTATTTCACATTGTCAATTATTTCATTAGGATCTTATGTACTATTATAGTTTTTCACACCAGAGAAACTATTTTGTATTTATACATGTGTGACTTATTTATTTCACTTAGGAGTATATCCTCAATATGTATCCATTTACCTATGAATGAATCTAATTTCTCATTCTTTGTGGCTGAGTAGTATTACATTTTATAGAAAAACCAAATTGTCTTTATCCAGTTTCCAATGATGGGTAAATGGGCTGTTTCCAAGTTTTAGCTATTACAAACTGTGCCACTAGAAACATAGGTGCGCATATATCACTGTGATATGATTCTTTTAATTCTTTTGGAAAGATACCCAGCAGAGGGATGGCTAAGTCAAATGGAACCTCTAGTCCCAGATCTTTGAGGTATCTCCATATTGATTTCCATATTGGTTGCACCAGTCTGCACTCCCGCCAACAATGGAGAAGGGTTCCTTTCTCCCCACAACCCCACAAACATTTGTTATTGGCTGATTTCTTGATAGCAGCCATTCTTTGTGGGGTGAGGTGGAATCTCAGTGTTGTTTTCATCTGCATCTCATAAATGAACAGTGATGTGAAACATTTTTTCATATGCTTACTTGCTGCTTTTACTTCTTTGTCTGAGAAATGTCTGTTCATTTCAGATGCCCATTTTTGAATTGGGTCTTTATATTTGGCAGGGCTGCTTGTTTTGAGTTCTTTATATATTATAGAAAATAGTCCTTTGTCTGAGGAGCTGCTGGTAAAAATTTTTTCCCACATTGTAGATTGTCTCTTAGTTCTGCTGATGGTTTCTTTTGCAGTGTGGAAGCTTTTTTTTTTTTTTTTTTTT